AGTGGAGTAAGATGAGTGGTGTAAGATGAGTGGTGTAAGATGAGTGGTGTAAGACGAGTGGTGTAAGATGAGTGGTGTAAGGTGAGTGGTGGTGTAAGAAAATGTGGGACGGCGGCGGCGGAGGTGGCGGGCGGAGGCGGTGGTTGCGGAGCGGCGGGTGGAGCGAAAGACAAGAACCCCACATAGTGATGTGGGGAACAATGCAAAATCATCAATCACAGCGTGCATTTTTTAAGGACAACTTTGGGTGAACAGTTGATAGGGGGCTTGGGCTGCATTGAGTCAAAAGTTCTTTGGCCGTGGGTTGAACTTGACGGGCGTCGATTCCGCAGTGACTGTCCAGGTACAGGCTGTCTATGAAGGTTGCGCGCAGCCAGTGCCACAATGATGGGAAACATGACCCTTTTGATTCTGAATGTCGAGCAGACGGCAGCGACAAAGGTGGCTTTAATGTGGACATGGTTGTTAGAAGGAACCAGGACTGATAGAAACCATTGCTCTCCTCTCATGTTTTTCCACCCGGGTCTCCCTCTCTTTCTTGCAACGAGCTCAATCATTTCTTTTTCCCACACACCCAAGGACCACAGGTTTTCACAGGAGGTGAGTTCAGTGCAATCTACTGTATGACGACGCTTGCAGGATTCAAGCTACACTCTTCTGAGTCATTCAACTGCTGAAAAGGTGCCACTGCCGCTCACAATGTGATCGCGATAACAAATCTTGCATGGCACTTTTGCTTGGAAGCAGGAGGGCAGAGTTGTCACAAGAACAAAGTGCCCATAATTTGCTTCGATCCCTCACGATTTGAATGGACTCGGGCCCGTTGACATATTTGGTTTCGTCCACCAACGCCAAGAAAAAACACATATTCGGGTTGATTAATGTGGTGAGATAACTGTGACGGCCTAACTGGCCTTGCAAACTTGCACTGGAAAGATTGAGGCCTGTGCTTAGAGGAAAATATATCGTGCTCGGAAAACTTGTCAACATCCATAGCTGTTTTCTCAGCTGTGAATTTCTTCTTTCCAATCCTGCAGCATTTTGAGAAGACCAAAGAGTATATTCATATCATACGTCAGCTTTTGCATGAACATCCCTAGAGACATGCTAAATACCAAAACATGTGAGGACACATTTGGTGCATAGCCTCGGTACCTGATGCCCAAGAGAAGAGAGACAGAGGCAGAGCCTGACAAAGCGCTGAATCTCTCAACCCTGTCACTAGCAGCAGAGCATAGAAGGCCTCCTTAGTCTGAGTCCCTTCTCTTTTCTTGCAAGGCCACACGCCGTCGACGTGCGCAATTGGCCAAGTATCGTCAGGCAGATCAAAGGTAAGCTGCACAGCAACCCATGAAAACTACATATCTAAATATATACATATATATATATATTACAAATCATTCAATCAAAAAAGGGTCAATGGCAAGAGAAAAAACATGTGGCAGGCAAGCTGCAATCAAACACTGCCAGGGACCAAACGGAAAGTGGGAGTCCAATGCAAAGAAGGCAGATGTGTTGGTTTACAAGAGGCATCTACAGGCAAATCCGCAAAGGTCGGTCAGCTGGTTTGAAAGTCACAAGACTCTTGTATATTTGCTTTGCTTACAATCGATCCCGTGGCCCGTGACCTGCAGTCAACTGCTGTAGGCAGTGGCGATTCGAGTGAAGCGACAAAGCCTCCGCATTGGCCCCTTGGTTCACTTGGTTCAGCGGAAGACTGCACATTGGACACGTTGATGTTGGACATATCTGGACAATGACGATTCAACGTTTTAAGGCAATTGTGTCAGCTTCAGGTTTGCTTGACCTGTTTGTAGGCCCATTGCTCGCAAGTTGTAAGGCCAAGAAGGCATTCAAAGCGTCAACGTTCTGCAACATTTGACCCAAAGAGTCAAACTGAGTCAACTGCCAGGTTGCCTTGGAAGCCAGGAATTTTCAAGCTGCTCTACGCCTGGTCAAGGAAAGGTGGAAAATGCGAGACTTTGTAGTTGATTCGAGGAGCTCCAAGGAATGGATATGTAGTCCTCGTAGAGTAGATAGAATATGTGTGAGGACATTTCAAAACCAATCCGAAACTGCACCTGGTCATGTTTTCGGATTGGTTCAGATTCCCCTTAGTGCGGCAAGGACCTGAGGGATTGTTCAGATGAGGCGAGGGGGTACTCAGAAAGCCAAGTCTTGCACATTAGGCTCTGACATTGGTCATCTTCAGCAGTGTGCAGACGATTTTACCGATTCAACTCGCAGTTGCAAGCTCCACATGCTTTGCCGCCACACACCTGCATAGAAAGTTTGCATATAATCGAGCTCAGCTGCATGACAGAATCTGTCGGAGAGGGAGTGCCAAGCCCAGGCCTGCCTACAATCACTGATCGGTGAGATCAGTTCTCTTTCAGTGACAGCACCGCTCTTGCGAAGGAGCCTGTAGGGAGCCGAAGTGAGCCCTACCCCTGAATGTCTTGTAGCACTCAGTGGCCCCTGATTCCACTTTAGTCCAGGACTCTGATTCCAAAAGTCTTGCGAGAGGTGCTGCAGTCTCAGCACTGACGGAGTCTGCAACACTCTGGGCGGCTCCACAACGATGTCTTAGGAAAAAACACTCCAACCAGCTCCCGACAGTGCTCATTCATAAGGTCTGCCAGGTTTCCCAATGTCCGAGAGCAGGCAAGAGCACAGTTCGAAGCACTTGGGGGTGGCCAAATAGTACAGCTGCAGCGCCGCTGCGTGCAGAGCCAGGTGACCCCAATCATCGCGAAGTGGCGCGCTGTCTATGCACAAGAGGAGTCTAGTTTGAAATGCTGGCATGGAAGCTGCAAATCACACAAACAAGTATTGTAGTCCTGTGAGCAGATCTGCAAATGCACAGGCCTGTTGAGAATGTATACTTTCTATCAAGCTAGTCCAGCTGCTTCGCAACATGATGCTCTCTCACCAGACATTCACATTTGTTTGGCCTTGTAACTACAATACATTGCGCATTCATTTGTACCCTCGCTGAATCTAAACTGGCAACGTGTGAGAAGGTGACGCTTAGAGAAGGACAAGAACATGGGTTCAAGTGAGATCGATCACACCGAATAATATATGTAAACTCGCCCCCGAATTTAAAGACGATAGGAACGTTTAGCTGTGTTTTCAACCGCAGCGTGTCGGCTTCAGCAGAGGATGTGGGGGCACGCGGAGTCGTGCTCCTGCACCCTTTGCCCATCGATCAAGCGGCTGCATCGCTTGGTGGGTGAAGGAACCCGACTGCAGGAGGCTGACTTGTTCGTCGGGTACGCGACCATCAAACTGAGGAACGCACTCGGCGAGCTCCAGGACTTTCTCGACGTACATCCCCCGAAGGCACGGGAGGGGTCGGCACTCAGGAGGAGAAGAAGGCGAAGTCCGACGTCGACCAGCTCGAGCAGACGAGAGAGTTCTAGGCTTTGAGGAAGGCGGGACAGTTGAGGCCTATACCATCCCAGTGGGAGTCTTAGCACCAGGGCTGAGACTCCTGGGAGAAGGAAACTATTGGGGGCGTGGCCTTTGAGATAGAGTCGGTGCAGATCCAAGGTGGCGCCCTTGAGGTACTGGCTCAGGTGTCAGGTACAGAGGACGAAGGCTTTTTGAAGTGGCTGACCGGTCAGTCTCGACCTGGAGTTCGACTTCATCTATGTCCACCAGAATGTTCCGGTGCACCAGAAGCGGACAACCTGATCCACTTGAAGAAGGTTCAGCGAAGAGGTCCGGGCGATCTAGGGTGGGTCGACAATATGAAAGGTGCCAGCGGCATGGAGGAGCTCAGGCGTCTTGCCGAGAGGTCAGACGCAGTCGCACGAGCGGGCGGAGGAGGCCCAGCAGGTGTGGTCGAAGCAGCTCCAGGCCCCGACGAGAAGGAAGACGAGAAGGAGTCCACCAAGAGCAGCGATTCAAAAAAGAAAAAGAAGCACAAGAAGAGGAAGAAGCCCTTCAAGGTCCAAGGACGAAAGGAGTTCGTAGCCCTGTTCGGAGGGACAGGGTTAGACAAAGACCCAAAGGTGAGGAGGAAAGTCTCGAAGTTGGCAAGCTCAAGAAGAAGACAAAGGGTTCCAGCTCCACGGATTCGGATGGATCCATGGGGGAGTTGGGAGAGGAGGATCTAGAAGGCCTATTCCAAGAAAGCGCTCGAACACATCTGGCCGCGAAGGTGGGGCCAGGGGCTTTGGCCTACCATGCAATTCGACAGATGCGCAAGCAGATGTTGCAGACTGTGGGCCAAGAAGAGGAGGAGACGACGCCAATCCAGCCGGTGAGATTGCAATTCTACCGGCAGGTGCTCAGTCAGCGGATGAGTCCGGTCATGAGCCGGGAGGCGCTGAACGTCTCGGCCGCTCTGGACGCGCTAGTGGGTTGCCAACCCGCGCTCGCAGCGGACATCCTGGTTCAACGTTTGAAGAGCTTGGAAAGCATCAGCAGTGGGTCAACATGGCAAGTGGCTCAGCGGTTCGAAGTAGTCCCTCAGGACCTGGGCAGCTTGGCAACCATGGCGGAGTCGCGGGCGGCTGCGAAGGAGAGTCGAGAGGAACTCAGGAACAAGCAGCTGCAGCGCGGCCAATGGGAGAGCTCGACTTGGAAAGGAGGCAAGAACGATGTGAAGGGCAAGAGCGACTCAAAGGGCAAAGGAAAGAGCAAAGACAAGGAGGGAAGGAGCAAAGGAGGAGGCGACAAAGGCCGAGCGGACAAAGTGGAGAAGTGAGGAGAGAGGAGCTTCTAGCAGAAGAGGAGATTTCAGAAGAGCTGCGAAGAGTGCGGAGAGAGATGCCTGAAAGAGAGAAAGATGCCTATGACTATGAGGCGCCGATGAATGATGCCCGGGAGAAGAGCTATGATCCTGGGTTGCTTGACCGTACAGGCTTTGGTGTTGGGAGTGCCGACCCACCCGAGGCGAACCAACTACCGTCCGAGATGGATGTGAAAAAGCCTGCCTGCGCGAGCGAGTTTTCGACTTTGGTGGAAGGGTGGATCCATGGGGGATTTGTTTCCTCTCCCAATCGACGGCCTCGAGAACCACTCTCTTTTTTTCAGTTTTGGTTTTTCCTGTGTTTAAGTTAGTGAGAGGGCTTATGTGTGGTTTGAATGATTTGTATGGTTGTGTGCCTATGCCCGGAGCTAAGTTGACTGCTGTGCAGGTTAAGGTTTGCATGTTTTTGATTAATGTGGCTGAGGATTTTCAGTTGAGATGTCCAAGACTCCCTGAGATGTCGTGGGAGGATTTTTTGAAAGTAAAAACGATCGACTATAAGGGTGATGAAGTTAGAGTGGCTCAGATGACCAGTTGGGCCAATATCAAAAATGCTCTCCCAGCGGAAGTGGGCACAGTGCCTTTGGAGAGTGTGGTTACCAAGGGTTCACTTCACTATGTCCTGAACTTTGACAGTTATCTTCTCCCCGAAGGGGACCAGGTGCACACCAAGCCTCCCCGTGTTATGGTTCCTGATATGTGGACTAGTTCGGGAGGATCAGATCCATCGTGTTCAGGGCAAGCCATTGTTCAACGGATTATTTGGCGTCCCCAAGGACGAGATGGACGGAGCCACGCCGGTGCATAGGCTCATCATGAATCTCATCCCTCTGAACCGCATCTGCCGGGCAATGAGTGGAGACGTAAGCACCCTCCCCGCCTGGCCGTCAATGCACCCCTTTGAAGTTGGAGACGACCAGACCCTGATGGTTAGTTCCGAAGACGTGAGGTGTTTCTTTTACATTTTCACGGTGCCGGTCGAGTGGCGCAAGTATTTGGCCTTTGGTCGTCGAGTCCCACAAGAACTTTGCCCAGACAGCCAGGGATGCTACTTCTTACGCAGTCGAGTACTGCCTATGGGGTTCTGCAACTCGGTCTCCCTGGCCCAACATATCCATCGCAACATAGTGGGTGAAGCAGTGAAGGAGTGCGTAGCTAAGGGTGCCAGGGCTGGTTGGGAGGCTGAGCATAGGAAAGACCGATCTTTCACATG